CCACGTCTCGACGTCGTATCTTGAGTGGCCACGTCTCGACGTCGTATGTTATTTTACGTTTTAATTTACACTACATACATAATTTGTTATTGCATCATTTATTCACTTGCAGACTGCCAGAGCCGTCGGCTCAGCAGCAGGGTGGTGGCGACGCCAATGAAGACGACGACTTCGACCCTGACAATCAGCCAATCACACAGCTGCGGTATTTATTCTATAGTCTTGTCTTTTTTGAAGATGGAGTGAAATGACAGTTCATTGCTCAAAAGTGTTGCAGCTAGTGATTGCAGTCGATAAATATTCTATCGACTAATGACTGAATATTGGTCACGCTTACGGAATAAATAGTCGAATTCGTTTCATTTCAATCATCCTCGACCCATACATACATACTTTGTAAGTTCATACATACATATAATGTATTTAGAACTATAAATACGAAGAGGAGACATATTTTTAGTTTTTCATTTTAATTCAATATAGACAATCAAATTCGACTATTCTTGTTAAAGTGTGTTTGAATAAAAATTTATTTCGATATTAGTAGGCCAATTGTCAAAATAAGAATAAAGAAGTCAATAATGCAATTAGTACTCGATAGAGCATCGTAATATTCACTAACCAGTCATTTTTGGCAAAATTTTATCTTTCACAATCCATCGATAAAACTATCGACAACAACTACATAACTATTTAAAATTGTATGAAAACTGGCAACCCTACAAATGTCATTTTACTCCGTCTTTAAAAAAGACAGGCTATATATTTGTATAAGACAAAGAAAAACATCTTTATTGCTAATTTTCCATTGCGATAGTGCAAGACCCGAAATAGGTAACAGTTATAGGTTAACACCATACCTAATGAATCGGCTTGAGCCGGACAGAAAAACCTTTAATTCCTGTTCAAACATAAGCGTTATTACCTACCGCTGTGGGTAGTGAAAAATACCGTGCAGCTTCCCGCCTGGTATTTGTATAAAGTTACGCGGCTAGTGATATACCGGAATACCGCGCCATATCGCCCATCGCCCAGTTAAGGCCTATTCAAACCGCAGAGTTATCCGCTACCGCGGCGGGTAGCGGTAATACCCAAGCGATATCCCGCGCGGTATTTTATATGGCATTTCCGCAGCTGTCGCGAAAGCGGAACCGCATACCAGACCGGTACGCGGTACGTTACCGTGCTTACCGCGGTACGGCCGCCATTTTGATTCAACTTGTTTGGCTTTGGCGCGGACGCACCCCGCGTCCCTTGCCACTCATCCTATTGTTTCCGATCGAGAAGGCCGCTACGCTGCGTGCACGCGTGTTTCTGTACTTACTATATTATATAACTTGTGTTACTTATTACCTATTACTATGCCGAGGGATCAAATTAAAAGTACATTAACAGTTAAACTTATAGATATGGTAAAGTGTCATCCAGTTCTGTATGACATGACACACCCCGAATTCAAAAACACATTTTTAAAATATAAGTTATGGGAAGAAATCGGAGGAAAATTAAACATGGATGGTAAGTTTACAATTTAATTAAGTACATTTATTTATTTGAATATATTAACATAACATGTACCTAATACAATTCACTTAATCTGTATTAAAGTAGTTCACAAATTGTTCGCGTACATTGTGACCCGTCTCTGCGTTTGCATTATGCGCGACATTTCTATTAAAATGATTATCTTGTGATTCATTATGATATAACTGTGTCAAATATTGCCTAGTACAAGTTTTAGAGCGCAAATAATTATGTAGTACGCAACATGCTTTTACAACCTTCACAGATTTAGACACATGCAATGGAATCGGTCTTAAAAATATCCTCCATTTTTGAGCCATTATACCAAACGCGTTTTCCACAACGCGCCGAGCACGACATAAACGTTTATTATATCTTTCTTTGCGCATATCCCTCAGAGCTTCTCTCTGATTAAATGGTTTCATCAGGTATGTTTTTAAAGCAAACGCTTCATCTCCTACTAAAACATGTGAAGTATGGACATTGTACCCTGGCAAAGGTTTATTATGTGGTATGTTCATTGTTCCATTACAGAACTGTCTTCCCATAACGGAGTTTTCAAAGATACCACCGTCACTATTCTTGCCGTACCCGCCAACATCTATACATAAAAAATTATACTGTGGTCCCACTATTGCCATAAGTACTATGGAAAATTTTTTTAAGTAGCAAAAATAATTACTACCTGAATTACGAGGACAAACAACAGTAACGTGCTTCCCATCAATGCTCCCAATACAATTTGGGAATTGCCATAAGTTGTAAAACTCTTCCGATGTCAATGTCCACATTTCTTCAGTGGGATTCTTCATATATACTGGTTGTAATCTGTTCCAAATGGCCTCACACACTTCACCTACGATGTCTCCTACTGTAGAATATCCGACTCTGTAGTCGTTTCCAATTGATTTAAATGAATCCCCCGTCGCTAGGAAACTGTAAAAAATAACACAATTTTAACATTCAACTCGAAAAATAAAGAGCTTACACGGCCGCTAGATTTGAATTTATCATAGTGTAGGTATAAATATTATATACACTATGATAAATTCAAATCAAAGATGGCCGCCACCACAAATTAGCGAATTACACGTTTTTTTCAGTGTCAGGGGTTTTAAAATTTTTATTGTAATTTAAAGTTTTATTTTGTTTCATTGTTGCAGGTGACAGTGCAAGAACCAAATGGAAAAACTTAAGAGATTCGTACAGTAAATATTTAAAAAGTTTAAAAACTACTACAGGACAAAGTGCGGCTAAGACATATGATCGGTACAATAAATGGCAATGGGCATCAAATATGGACTTCTTAAGAGACCATATAGGCTTTGCTACCACCGACACTAATGTCATACCTAACGTCACATCGGACATTGAAAGTGATAGTCAACATTCTGAGCGAAATATCGATGAAACCAGAAATTCCACTTCAAATCATTCATTCTCAACACCGTCTCCTCAACCCGCAACCATTAATAGAAAACGGAATAACCGCTGTGACAATGAACGCGGAGTTGATAAAGTTATTAAGTATTTGAATTCAAGACAATCAGATACAAATATGTCGTCAACAGAACATTTAATGATTGGGTATGCAAAAACAATAGATAGTTTTTCCGAAAGGCGAAGAATATTAATTAAAATGAAAATCGCGCAAATTATTATGGAAGGCGAACTAGAAGAACAGGAAGAACGCAAAAGTTTGCGTAGTCCTCAACCTCCACGCCACGAACTTGAGGCGGGGGCACGTCCCAGCACATCAGCATGCTCAATTACCAGTGATCATACATATAATTCATCAGCACGCTCATATTATAACAGTTTTTCTCCCCACAATTTCGACGTGGAACAAGATCCTTTAATAAATAGCTATGGGCAAGTAGAACAAGAATATAACATAGACGCACAACCACAATCAGAAAATATACCAGGGACATCCAATATAAGCCAAGAAAAGAAAATCCATTCTCAACAGGCAGAGAGCATCTGCGAGGATCAAGATGTTGATTATGAAAGCGAGATTGACACCCTTATACGAATATAATTATAACGCTCCAGTGTCAGTTCTTGTTTTTGTTGATTATTAAACAATAAATACCTGTACTTAAGTATGCAAAAAATTATTTATTTTGTTTTACCTTAAAGTAATAGCTAATCGTTCCTCAGGACCAATTGGGCGTCGAAATTCAGTATAGGATTTTGTTATGTCGAACTTGATCATATTTAATATTTCATCAAATGATTCTGTATACATTCTATATGTATCATAAAATCGTTTTTCATCCCGTCGCAGCTTTGGATAAAGTGTGTGAAATTGCCCTTCGACTTCTCGTTCTCTATTTATGTCATGGATCCAAATTCGTGACCTGAGGAAAAGAAAGTATGTATAACTGCAAAGGCAATGTAAGTATATAAGTAACAAAATAACAGCCGATAATAAAATAAAAGCATTTTGGAATATAATAAAACATCGAACCAACAATAGCAATAAGAAATTTTTAAAACGGGATAGAATTTTTACTTACTTTCGTTCGTCCTCAAGTAATGCCAATAAAAGTAATGCTTCTTCTTCTCTGCTAACCATCTTCTTCTTTTTCAATTTATCAAACCATTTGAAAACCTATCTACGTACAGTAAACAAGATGTTGACAACGACACTACACCTTGAGGACACTACAGCGCCCGTCGTCGGTCGACCGAACCGCTACCGGGGGCGGTAGCGAATTCCGCTATGGTTTGAACATAGCGAAAATCGCATACCCATCGGGATTCCGTTACCGCTAGCGGTAGCGGATAACTCTGCGGTTTGAATAGGCCTTTAGGCGGTGTCTTAAATAAATTTTCGTTTGCTCTGCAAAACGGGTGTTACCGTACAGAATTTAGTATATGACCAGAAATAGAGAAGAAATGTTATTTAATTTGTTTAAAAACTATTCTGCCATATCATTACTGTGACTACTGCGCTCCGATTGGTTAGCCCGAGTTCGAAACAATTGACGGGTGTCGTCAACTGTTTCACTTCAAATCGACCAGTTAACTTGAGCTTTGCTATAATAGACGAAAATTGCAAAATTACATATTTGATATTTAATTACCGATGAAATGTGATTTCGTTTGTTTTGTAATTAGATGTTTTGCTGTTTTTCCCACACCTCCGAACAGCACGGCATTATTAGAGATATTATCTTTGTTACAATAAATACAGAATATTTTTGGAATATACGGAGACATACACACAGGTCAGTAGTTGGCTTGTCTATATTTCAGTGCAAACGGGAGTTGATATTTATAAGAGCTGTATCGCTAATGTGTTACCAGGAATATATGGCCCTTATTTCGTCTCTATTTCTGGTTATATACTCGATGCCGTAGTGACAAGTTCATCCCTCGTCACACTTGTGTTGGGTCATGGAAATAGTTCTATTTTGAAAAAAATCATACTTTCCAGAAAATTAAATATTTTTCCGGTTATTTTTCCTTTATTTTTCCACATTTGACGTTGTCACCTGACAAAAATTCAAGTTACGGAACGAAAACGGTGGAACCATTAAAAAGGTTTTTTTCGCTCTGGTGAAATCATTTTAAATCTCGTTTTTCTCTATGTGGCTTTTAGTTACACAAGTTTATTTTATAATTCACGCTAAATAAAACTTCAAAAGTTATTTCTAAATGCAGAATGAGCCATTCGAAATTATATTTTTCCAATTTTTCGGGAAATTTTCCGGGAAAAGTTTACACTACTTACTTTTTCCGTAAATTACCCAACAGTACGCGCACCACGTAACATTGACATAATAATAACAAATGATAATGAATAATGGATGCTACCCAAAGCGGTAGCGAATAACGCCTATATCTGAACACGCCTTTACTCGCTTTATTTACTTGTTATGAGTGATAATTATTTTCATATTTAATAGTTATACTCTTGTAAATTGTTTCATTGATAATCTTCTTTAACAGATTCATTCCTCAAAATGAGGCAGATTTGCAAGCGATGTATTCAGCAATGAGCCATGGACAATCGCTTCACCCTGATCCAGCAGACGAGGTGGATGATGATGACCCATACATGGATGGGGAGGAGTTCGATGAAGGTATATAACAGAAATAGATAATACAAAAGATTGAGGTGAAAAAGGTTTATGTACATTCAAACAGAATATTTTTAATCCAACAAAAAATTAATAAGTTGTGTATTGTGTATGTATTTATAACAGTAGAGTTTCTTGAGAAAGAGTTTGTCCAGGGAAGTACTCTAATTCATTTTACGTAATCATTCTTTCATACTTTAGGAACAACTTGTATTGTGAGAAATATTTTCATAGATTTCTCATAGATGGCGCTACGGCTAAAAAGTCGTTGAAAACTAAATACAAAGATCCGGCAACAAGCACACAGAAAAATTCGTGAGGTCCGCTGGTTCGTAACGTGGCTTAGTATATAGCGTCTGCCACGGTTTGGTAGAAGATGTTAGTACGAATTCAGCCGTATCGAAGGAATTTTTTCTAAGTGTTCGACCTTTGTATTTATAATTTTTATTTTTCTATATTAGCAAGTGACTGGACGTACAAGTGCACGACTTGCTAGGTGGTAAGCGACACGCCTACACATAACGGAAATGCAAAAATCTCAGCGGCACTGCCACTGCGCTCGTGCCTGTAGAAACACAACTACCATATTATTTTTGAGACAATAATTTGTAGCAAATGTACACAAATTGTACTCAAATTTCAATAAATATTACGCATATTTAAGTAAACCTAAACGGTTCTGAAAAGTCCCGGGATTTGTAGAAGGGAATGTCCAAGTTATTCTTAACTTTAGCTAAATAAAATCCGTCAATTCTGATCACTGATAATTTAAAGATAAAAAGTTTTTGTTTCACTATAGTTTTAAACCTCACGAATGGCAAATTTTAAATATCAACCGGATTCTTATTATGGAAGCGTATACATTGCCCTTTAAATTTTTTTTTTATAATAGCTAGTGACGGGACAAACAAGTCGTGCACATGATGGTAAGCTACACGCCTGTCGATAACAGTTGCAGTGTCACTACGCCCGTCACTCTGAGACATAGTTGACAAGTCATATGTGACAGTAATTTCACCACCCTTACCCTACCAAAACGAAAATGCTTACATCACTGCTAGTTGGCAGACATAGGTAAGAGTCGAAACACAAAACTGCGATTCATTCATTATCAACCGTACTGAAAGTATTTTTAAACTAGGTAGTAGACATCGATCGTAAAAAGCGTGTTGCACTTCTGTTATAGTTAAGAAAGTATAGGACAATAACACAAAGACGATTAACATCGCAGTTTTGTGTCTCGGCCCTAAGGAGGCAGTACTTCCCAGAAAGAACTCTTTCACAAGGAGCTCTAATGCTTTTGATTTTAATGCGAACGGTACATTCCTACATACATATGTACACTACTTCAAAGGTAACGGCAACGGAACGGTGCACTATTTCAGTTTTAAGTTAATACCGCCATCCAGTTCTGTAAACGTTGGGCGTAATTTGCCTAAAAAAAAAGGCAATAAGGTTCAATGACCTGACAAATTTGGTTTTACTTTTAGAGTGGTTACACACATACCAAGAGTAGCGATGCAATCGCGCGTTTGTATCTATGCAGTCGTGCGCTTGCATCGCTGTTAAAAGCCGTGTGGACGCTATAAATGGTAGAATATTTTTAGTAAAAATGTATTACATGTCAGCTTTGAATTTAGTTCAGGGAGTATTAAATTTGTTTATTTGTCTTTTTCAAAAATACATGTAAAAAAGGTTATCATATGAAAAATGCTGTTTTCTTAAATTTCTCCTCAAGTGACTTTGATCATTCTTTCCCTGGACTCATCATTCAGCCATACGACGCCCACTGCTGGGCATAGGCCTCCTCCAACGATCTCCACGACGATCGGTCTTGCGCTGTCCGCATCCATCGGCTTCCGGCGACCTCCACCAGATCGTCGGTCCACCTGGTGGGGGGCCTACTCACTGAGTGCCCCGCCCACTGCCACTTCAGCTAAACAATTCTTTGAGCTATGTCGGTTAACTTAATTCTCCTACGGATTTCCTCATTTCTGATTCTATCACGTAAGGAAATACCGAGCATCGCTTTCATCATTGCTTGCCGCCCGCTCTCAGAAGTTCTGTAGTGATTCCATCATCGCCCGCCGCTTTGTTGTTCTTGAGTTGTTTGAGAGCCACACTAATGTCATACAGGCTGACGCCCGGGATATCTTCAGTATAATGTCGGGTAAGCTTGACTCTGGGGTCTTTAACTTCGCTTTCAACAGGTGCTTTCGTGGAGTACAGCTGTCGATATAAACTCGCTATGTCCCTCAGGATTTCAGGTTTAGATGAAATAATGCTACTGTAACGAGGGGTAGCTTGTGATTGCGTAGCGAGAGGTACTTTTATGAATATAAACTGGAATAATCTTTAAAATATACTTTATTTCACTTTTTTTACATGTTACTCGTTTTGGGTTACAAATCAATAATGTCAAGATGCTCCATTCTTTTCTCTTAGTTCATTTTCAAAGCATTCTAATTATGAATCTATTCACTCAGCCAGTGATTCTACTCATAGAGTAGAGCCTAGACTACACTACCGTCATCAGTTTTTAGCTTCGTCAGTTGGCTTTGCCCAATAGACAGATCTCTCGCGAACACCTTGGAGCCTTTGTTCCGCTAAATGGCCTCTTTAATACGCTCTGTATTAAATTGGCTTCGATATCTGCCTATTTAGCAGCCTGTAGTGACTTGCATCCTCTGAGTTCTGTAGCTTCATTTCGTTTCTATGTTCCATGAGTTGGAGTGTTTTGTCGGAGAGTTTCTTTATTCTGGTACGGTGGGTTTTGAAAAACTTGGACCCAACCGTACGGACAGTATCCACCACCATGTTGTTTAAATTGTCCACATCTATGCAGTTTTCGAGGGCTTCGAAGCGGTTTTGAAGTTTGAGCTGAATGCTCTCGGGGCTTTGGAGTTGTGCAGGTATTGATCGGAGCGTAGACTCTACCAGTCGAGTTCTTTCCAGCCGGATATTGATATTCAATGTGCCTCGTACCAACCGGTGATCACTTCCTGTTTTGACGGTGTTGATCACAGAGACATCATTGAATATATGCTTTTTCGTCGACATGATAAAGTCAATCTCATTTTTTACTTTACCGTCCGGACTCATTAAGGTCCATTTTCGAGTTGGAGATTTCCTGAAAAAGGTGTTCATCATATAGAGGTTCTCCTTTTCCATGAAATCAACCAACATCCGGCCTCTGGCGTTCCGTTGTCCAACTTCAAATTGCCCCACTCTCAGCTCATCACCGCAACGCTTTCCCAACTTTGCATTGAAGTCCCCAATCACAACCATTGAACCTTTCCCTGGATTCTTTCGTATGCAATTCCGAGCTCTGGCTAATATATGTAACGCATAAACGGAAGTGATGGAACCGCGTTCCTGCAGGCGACGAGGAGTTCGAGGACGCGGAGGAGAGCACAGCGGGCGCGCCCGACGACGCCGCGCAGCGCCTGCGCACGCTGCGGATCGACAACGCCAACGGGGCGCACTACGGTGAGACTCCAATTATGCCACTTTATTGTTGACGGGGCGAAATTATAGCAATTCTTTTTTTAGTGCATTCGTGGCCGAACGGTTACATGCTGCACTGCCCGCAGAGGTCCCGGGTTCGATTCCCGGGCCGGAAAAAACATTTGTATGGCCTACATTTATTTGCCTCGTGAGTTTGGATGTAATTTGTGGTTGTCTATGTGTGTCTGTCTATAGCACCCGCGATGCAGGGTTTCCCTAGTGTGTGACGACGAATGTGCTTTGTTATTATTAGTTAATTTAAAAAAAATAACGCGCACTCATAGCCCTGCACTTGGAAAACCCTGTATCACGGGTGCCAAGTATATCATACGTTCAATGTTTCAAAGTAAACATGACACTAAGTGACATCTTTACTTTTAAATATGGAACCTATAATATACATAAAAATGATATGTTTAAGTTAAAAACAAAAAAAAAAAATGTTTTTTTTTTACTTACAACTTACGTGTGAAGTATCGATTTTATTTACCTTAAGAGGGAGCATGCCAAAAAAGTTTTGACGTTGGCTCCGCCCAAATTTGTGAACCAAATATATGCCTGAAGTTCGCGTGACATGCGACAGGAGATGTTGAATTTTGCGCATTAAAAGTACCAAATTCGTTTTAGCGGAATAACTCTAAAACTAAAGGGATTAAAAAAAAATCCGTAGTGACAGTTCTCGATCATGCATAAATATAATTAATTATCTAATTTTTGTCCTAATAACCTGTAGCATTTCGAGGATAAATTGAAAAAATGTGAAAATTAGATGTGTTTTCGTGATTTTTATCTATCGAGGAAACTTTATTGTTTTATGTTTCTGATTAATGTGTATGCTTGAATATATCGTGTAGTTACTCATACAATATTTTATTTTTAACTTTAAACCTCTAAAATTAAATCGACGATTTGTAGAAGCGTCGTAACACGTCCGAAACGTGAAGGTAAAAAAAAATATATAAATGCGGTTAAGTCCCCATTTTTCAAAAAGAAATACAGTGTGAAAATCACACAATCAATATAGAGTAACGCATACACTCATAGCCCCGCCATGTATCATGGACACACAGATAGACAACCACAAATTACATACAAACAAATGTAGACCATACAAATATTCCTCCTGGCCCGGGAACGAACCCGGGATCTCTGCGTGGCAGTTCCGCATGGCAACGGTTCGGCCACGGAGGAATAATCCTGTAGTTACCGTAAACAAAATTGTATTTTCAAGTTTTCAGTTTATTTAATTTTACTACCATGTTATTCAATTATTTTTTGTGAAATGACTCCAGTAGTTTGTTATTATTCGAACACTAAGAAAAATTCCTTTGATCCGGCTGTATTTAAACTAGCGCCTTCAAGCAATTCGTGGTAGGCGCTCTCCGAACTAAGCTACGGAACGAACCAGACCTTATGAATTTTTCTATGTGCTTATTGTATCTTTTTTTTTTGGTTTTTTTAACGAGTTTTTTCCGTAGCGCAATCAGTGAGAAATCTACGAATAAACTTAATTTTCTCCAACTTTGCAGAAGATGCCGAAGACTCGGAAATCACCGAAGAGTGATTCAACGTGGATGTATAGTTTAGTCTGCATTCGCTTTATTAAGTGTGATTGTTTAGTTAAGCTCCCTGTTTTTTGTTACATTTTGATCTGATGGTTGCTGTTCTTTAACATTATGATAGAAGACTGCAATGATGTAACCCCAACCAGCCGTAATCGCGTAAGGGGATCACCATTTTACGCGTTCTAGAGACACACTGTGTTCTTAACGATATTGGTACTGTAGCATCTTACAGCCACAAGGAGTCTCTAAAACGGCTGCATTCCATTCACCATTTACATAATACTTGTAAGTATATGTATTTGCCAAGTTTTATTGAAATCGGTTATCAGAAAATGCGCGAGGCCGGATTCATCCCTTAAGTTTGCCACCTTTAGAAGTGGAATTGTTTATTCAAATTTAAATGGGACCAATACTCAGGTACCCTCTTTCCAATAAAAAGAATCATCGAAATCAGTGCACAACTGCCAGAGTAACCGCGTAACATTCATACAAAAAAATACAGCCCAATCAAGAATTCCTCCTTTTTTTGAAGTCAAAGTAAAGAAGAAGGAAACCGTTAAGGCACCGTGTATCTCTGGGCCGCGTGACTGGTTAATCAAGTGTATCTGTCGTTTGTTAAACTTTTGATAGATATTTAATAGAAACTGGCAACACTGTCGGAAGTTTGACGTTGGTTTTTTGTCGTGACACCTAACGCCACAATTTCAAATTTTAACAGCAAGTTGTCGGCCTCTAAGAGTCGTATTCTAGAACTCTACTCAATGCTCAAGTCAGGATTTGAGTATGGTTTAAAGCACTCGAAATCATACTCAAGTCCCTGCCATTAGGGTCGTATTTCCAGTGCTTGTGTTGCCAGTGCAATCCTGATTTGAGCATTGAATAGTTCTAGAATACGACCCTAAATGTACTATAATGTATCATCATAAAGTTACAAGAATTAACCTTTTGTATGATTGCTTAGTGTAATAATCATTTAAATATGAATAGTTTACGATATAAATTTAAGTTGAGTCTATATTTACTTTAAGTACGTTAGCGTGTGTAATAATAGTGTTGACCTAAGGGCAATTAACTTTTAAAATTTGTCGACCATTAGGGTAAGACCCCACTTATGACAATATGCTGTCAAAAGTCAATTTTGTGGTACATACACTTTTCATCATCATTTCATTAATTACTGTTTTTAATATCCCGCTATAGTGTACATTTACCTGCTAATATACATGGTTTTGCTGTAACGTGTAATATAAAGTTTATTTTTCACATAACAACAGATCAGCACGACCTCGCCTTAAAGTAGAATATGTACTTAAAGTTGTGAGGCATATGGTATCTTTTAAAATGATACGCAGTGCAAGGCACCTTTTCTCTACTTTTATTTAAAGTACAACTTTATAAGACACAATTTAAAGTTTGTTTTTATTTGCTCATTTTTAGTTGCTCGTCTAGTACTGAGGCATTCAATGGACGTTCAACTGCAACGCACATTGATCACAGCAAATATTGTGTAATTTGGTATTTTTCCCATACCTAACTTGTCGTGTATACTTCGTTGCAATCTATTTTGAACCGAAAGTAAACAAACACGTCACTGACCCGACCATAGACGACAGTTTAGTGATGGCCTATTATAATGACCAATTACAAATTAATTAATTAATTCAATGAATCGATTTGTTCAATTGAGTCATACTAACGGTTTTCCTTACATAACCTTGTAAGCATATTTAAAATTTCCAAAATCTTAATTTTAAATCCTTCAAATCCATACACTTAGATATTCGTTCGATTTACTAATCGATTACAAGAACTTTAGTTGAACGAACCGAATGTTTTTTTCGTACAGCACTATGCAATCACAGAGAAGTCATAGTTGTATAGTTGAAAAATAATCTCACTTTTGGACTACCAATTTACAAATACGATTTTACGATGCTACTCAAATGAATGTTGTCGGAAAAGTGATGAGATATCAAGTCGAAATCTTCGAAATATACGTGAAAGTGTTACTTATTCGATTCATTGAGTGATTTAGAATTTTAACCAAACAGTTTTGTTTACTTTTTGTTCAAAATGGATTGGAACAGACTTTAGAAAACTTTTCGTGTAAAAATGTGCTTTTAGTTATGAGTGTGGTGCTGTTCCGTGAGATCAAATGGGGTTTGACCTTTATTTGATTTGAGTATTCTTGAAAGTTCATAGAGTTTAGTAATAAATATTCTGCATTTAATTATAGATTCCTAAATGATTATTACGCTAGCACTGTCGTGTATAGAAAAGAAACTCCAGGGGTGTCAGAATGCAATTCTACTTGTTTGGGTTTACATGCACACCCCTTTTAAACGCTGAAAATATGTTAGAAAATATAATTTGAAATTTGAGAATATTGTTTGTTTTAATTAAATAATTGTACTGCAGGTTCCCCCGAAAACTTTTTTTAAAAACTTTCCTTTTTAAATACGCAATTCATTAAAATCTAAATAACTACTTTGCTCTCCTATCATAACTAATGCATTAGCAGGGGCTTTTAAAGTTACAAGTACGGTTTTTACAAAGATTAATTTTATTTGAAGTATATTATGAAGAAAATACAAAGAAAGAAATAGTGATGAACAAAGTTAGTCCTATATTCCTTATTTTAAACCAAATTATAAAAGAGTTTATCCTGAAAATTACAATGATTACGAATTTAAAATTTTTGTTTGTGACAATAATGTGAAAGTGAAAACATAAATATTGACTCCCGCCGCTTAATTAAGTACTATCTTGAAAACATAATGTTGTAGAACCACAATGGAAAATATTTAATGAGGATCCCGATAATCAAACGACGACATGGCTCAAAGGGCTTAAATCCAAGCCAAAACTTTGCATTTAAAAAAAATGTCAATTAGGCGAATTTTGCTTCAATAAAACGACATAATTATGATATAAAAAAAGCAATTAGAAGGTGTTGTGGATCTTGTTTCGCTGATTCCAGATTATCTTAATGCCTCAATTTCCCTCAAAATGTATGTTAGTTATGTTGAGGAAGTTAGTGTAGTTACTATTAAGAATATATTTTTCGGTTCCAACCCTTATGCGTGTAATTTTCTAATAACGTGGCCTGGTTCGAAATTGCTACACAGCAATAAGGTCGCTACTTGTACATTGCTTTATTCTTATATATCGCGCATTACAGTTCTATGTTGTCATTGTAATTATTAAACGTGTGATAAAGAATACCACTTTGTTGCCATTGCGAAATTCTTTTTTATTTATACTTTAGTATAAGGGCTTTACATACAGACAATTTGATAGTACATTTAAATCACGCAATATAGCGGAATTTCAAAAAACAAATTGTAAAGTTTACAAGTGTATTTATGTGGTCTGTGTTTACAAGTATATTGATGTGAAAACACAACACAAGAGGCTACTTCAGGCTTCAACAGTAACTTGTCAATATAAACATGAAATCTCCGTTTCGAACACAGACATAGTGGTTTCGAATATGATTGAGTGTGTCAGTGAGCACTTATTGGCCTAACGTTAGTTATTTACTTGTAAGGTATCGTCACGCGAGCTGCATTCTTATTGCTAGACTACACACTAGTCCATTGTGACCCTTACGTAGGCATTAGGGTTCAAAATGGAACGTCTGCGAAAATACTCGAGCAAGTTTTATCTGATAAGTGATTATATCTAGAGAGTTCGAAAGACAATGGCCGCAAGAGCAATGCGATTTGAAGCTTTGAACATTTGTGGCTTTTTAAAAAATACTGTTTACCAGAGGGGTAGAATAACTTTCTCTAAAAAAAATTATTTTTGCGTGGGCTTCACTTGTATTGGTCGGTGCCTTGATTTGTTGAATCGACCAACCTATACTGGGACAACCTGTGCGCGAATTAGGCTACACTCGACGTCAAAATTATCTAATAACTTATTTAAATTTCAGAGCATTAGTAAATTTTGTTATGAAGTGTTACGTCTGTAGCTGGAGTTGTAATTTTTATTTTAAATACAAAATGTACTGATAATTTGTTCCAACACAAGTTTTTCAATAGATCTTGAATGTTATTTGTAACTAACGCTCAAATGCAGTAGCGTATTATTTGTATTCCACGTGTCTAGTTATTTAAATAAACCATATCAAGCAAATGTATTTTTATTTCGGGTAAATGTTTTGCCTACCACAGTATAACTTTTCAATTGCTCTATTAGGATGTTCACTGGGATACAACTGTTATAATGTCGGATAATTCAAGTGTTATTTTCTTCAAATGCTGTTGCACCCCCAGAACAGCATCAACGCAATTGCTTCAACGGCCCCTACGTAGGACTCTTCAGCGCCCACCTGGGGGTTTTCAGGGTTGGGACCACTTTGGGAAAGTATGGTTTAGAGCAATCTATTTAAATTTATTTATTTTATTATGAAAGTAAAAGTCATGGAACAAAAGTTTTTGTTTATGATGTTAGTATTTTACAAACTACCCTGTATACAGGTAAAACCACGATGATTTAAAGTTTTATTACTTACGCTGTAATAAGTTTATGTCAGGGGCAACATTCTTCAATCTCCACATAAATTAGATCTGCTAGCACTAAAAAAGACGTGACTTAGTCGTAAAAAACTAGATTTAGCCCGACTTTATTTCCCGGGTCGGTAAAACTGCCAGGAAGGCTACTGGCAATTTATATGAAGCTATATTCAGATTACGCCGGACCCGGCAAAAATGCCGAGCTCGGCGTTGTTGTCAGAGTATTTGAGTCGTCCCAATAAATTGTCAAGAGGATGCTGTCATTCGAAAATAATTGGAGAACTTTGGACTCGGCACTTGCCCGTAAAATAGGATGTACTCAATGTTTTCTTTTTATTCCATTAAACCTAAGATACCACCACAATTTCGTCGTCTATCGTGCCAGTGGTCTCAATTCGACCAAGGACTTTAGTCTCCGATTTTCTTGCGAGATCCGGTCTAATGTGAACACTGCCGGTTTCCCGGCAAATTCGCCGGTCCGATATTGGGAACTAGGCCCAATACAAATAAAATGTTAATGCCATTGACTTACAAATAAATGGACGACGGGTCTAATACAAAAACCACGAAAAAAATGTCCCAAGTCAACCTATTTAAACGCAGTGACATTTAAAGGAATATGAAAAAGCTAAAACGTTGAATGTAAATTGTAATGTCATCGCAGTACTGTCTAATTTTGCTTGCTTCGCTGTCAGTCGAACAAACGAAGACTAAAGCGTGAATGACGCTCTGTATACGATTTTAACGCCCTATAAGTTCGGACACTTTTTAGCGCGGACCCGACGTCCATATAATTGTAAGTCAATGGTTAAAGCCATTAAAACTTATTAGTTAGCCAGGTGGTGAGTCGACACTGTCACGTTTATACCTTTTAAAGTTGTGGAAATGTCGTAAATAAAACGCAAATCTACACTACTATCTTTTATTAGGAAAACACAATACATTATATTTCATTTTTAATGTAACAACTAAGAAATAGCATCGTGAAAGAAATTGTACCGTTTGTACTTAACGATCATGCATGAAAAAAAAATTTCTATAAAATAATAATAAAAAGTTTCAACAAAAGTTTACTTACGGTCGAAGAGAAGGTACGTCGCGGGTTACATTCATTATTTTTATTATATAAAAATACATTGTAGACAGATTACAATATGACCAGCCAACAACCTCCTTACATTAAAAAATGTTTTATCATTTCGATTTAGCGTGAACACACATTAGTCTGTACTGTATGTTGAATTCCACGTGCAATTGTAATCAATTATTCAATAATATTATTGTTTAGTACGTATTTTAGGACCAGTAGAGCTCCTTGTGAAAAGGTTCGTCCAGGGAACTACTGCCACTTTACCCATTTCTGCCGCCAAGCAGTAATGTCAGCATTACTGTGTTCCGGTTTTGAAGGATAATGGTGCTGGTGATTACAGGCACATGGGGCTTGCCAACTTATATCTCAGGGTGACGGGCGTAGTGGCAGTACCCCTCAGATCTTTGCGATTTAAAAGTGGCACTGCAACTGTTATGGACCGTGTAGCAGGCGCCCGACTTGTCCATCCGTCACTTGATATTATTAAAAAAAACGTATTGCCAATTGAGGCTACACCATTTTTGAGCTTGTAGCATCAATTTTATGGCATATAAACAAAGTAGTTACTGAATTTTAATAATTACAAATTGTCATATCTTATTTATGGTAATAATGTCCATTTCAATACAGAGTCTGCTGATTAAATGTTGCACTTATAAGTGGCCCCTTTAAAAATGTACGACCTGGTAAGCACGGGCGCTCGTGATGAGTCCGGAGTCCTAATGTAACTTATGCGAGATCGAATCGAATTCAAAACGTGCTGATAACGAACTAGAAATGGCGTTGACTAATGTGTGTTTAGCTTTATAAGAATCTATCGATATAGGCAGAAAGTATATAATCTAATATACAAGTATTAATATATAAGAATAATGCAGACACGTATGTACATTAGATATTATTTATCAAAAACGTTTACATCGGTAAACTTATAAATGTTGCAAGTGACAAAACTGCATTTTTGGGAAAAGTTAAAAATATAATTATATATATTTTTTAATTCTAGCGACGTACGTGTTTTAAAATTATACTTGCTAATCTAAAAACCCTTTTTTCCTTTAAGTCCTACTAACGGTTTAATAACATTATCTCTCGTGGTCTAACCAGTAGGACTGGAAGGAAATAGAGGCTAAAACTACATCCAGAACTCTCAGTCTAAGGACACACATACAACACTTTGACACTTGACTTAAACATATTTTATTTATAATTATTAACTCTAGCAACCTCTTCTCTAAAATCTATACGACATATTGTCGTAAAAATACGTTAATTTACAATGTGTGATTACTTCGCGTAATTTGATATCTGATTTAGGGTTGAACCAAACTTCATAGCACAAATCACCACCGCAACCACATAGCAGTAAGTTATACCAACATTTAATTTATAGTTTAATGTTATGTAATAGTATAGTTTAATATAATCGCTATATGTGTTACAGTGCTGATAAATATGTGCGTAACAATGAAGTTTTACCCTTATTTACCGTCCTATATTTTGTGATTAGTGTAAAAAGAGACTAAGTGAAAATGCATAGGGATGTGGCCTATACCCTTATTTACCTGATAAGCGTTGTAAATCGCATTCTCGATATTGCAGTTTTTCTGTTTCCACAAGGAGACTTGTGAACATTAGAATGTTCTAAAGCGCTCTGCTCAAGAACAACAAATATGTGACTTATTCCGTTTTTACACTAAGGCACTAATTTTCCTACGATATAATTCAAATAATAAGGACATACGATCAGATGTTTGAACGTAAAAAATCAATTACGCAGCGATATCACTTTTTATTTTGTAACCGTAGTGATTTATATTCGAAGTTAGTAAAGAGAGTTATTTGAATAATGAAAACCTAATAGCTGTAATAGCTATATTAAATCTGTTTAGTTGTATCGGTAGTATAGATGGCACGGGGTCTACTGACGTTGGGCGGTTCTCCTACATCGCGTCACGCGGCAGACCAAGCGTATTAAAGAGTGCAACATATTTAATTTAAAAAAAAATATTAAGTTTGTTATTGTGAAATATAAGTATGGACAATATAGCATATTAATTAAACTACTTGATTTGTGATTTTGGATCTTCTATGGGGCACTAGTTTTTCTTTACATTTTGAAACATATGAATGTATATTCCACTACAGGGTTATTTGTAAATATTAACACAACCTACAATAACTTTTGTTCCATGACCATTGAATACAAAGGTCGAACACACGGAAAAATTTCGTCGACCCGACTTGAACCCACGTCCATGCTACACCGTAGCGTTGCTCTTATCAACTGAGCTACAGGTCCAGTTACCGAGCCGTCGAAATTCTCCTGTGTGTTTGTTATAGATCTTTGTACTGGCTTCCGGCATTCATGGCCGGTAGCGACATCTAGTGAGAGATTTAATAAACTTCTCACCGCAGCCGATACCTTTACAGGTGTCACAACTGACGCAGATGTAGCTTTTCGACCAAATGTATTTATTGAAAATTATAACAAAACTAGTGGTGTGCAAGCATCCTGCCTGATAACTTCCACCACCGATCCTGCGTTTTGCACAGGACTGGTATTTCGGAGCTTTCTTTTGGTACCGCACGGAGTTATCGCCGTTTAGAACGATTTATTTAAATACTTTCATTTTTGTACGAAAGTAAAATATTATTAAAAACCATGGAACAAAAGTTGTTGTTCACGATGTTAATAATATAGTTGTCAGTATTTTACAAAACCCTGTATATGGAGATCCTCCTTACGATAACAACTTAATATTGTGGTGCATATAGATTAGTTTTACGAGTAAAACAGCGGGATAGACATACCTAGTTACTTAAACATTGTCTTTACAGCGGTCATCAAAATCCACTTTACTATTCAGTGTCGCGTTTTAACTTCGAATATAATAATGTCTTTATATTATTGATCATGCAAACGCTCAAACAATATGAAGACTTGGTCGTTAATTTAACTTCTTAAGTTCAGAGTGTAATAATATTCGTTTGTCATAAAAATAATTCAATTATGCATTTCTAATTATGTCAAGAATAGATATTTTTTTATTATGATATATATGATTTCATAAGGGCGCGAAACCAAGCATGCACGACAGGGCGTGACTAGCACAAGATCTCTATGCAAGATTGTCTCGCGCAAGTAGCCCTCTGTCATGCTAACCTAAGAGTGGTTATTTTTAGCAGCGATATAAACGCGCGATTGCAGTCGCGCGCTTGCATCGCTGCTAAGTCGCCGTGTGTAACCGCCTAAAGGTTTAACATTGCTGTCACCCTTATACGTAATTTTGGTGCATTTTTAGTGAAATTTACTTATTAACATATATGGAACCAGCGAGACGAGATCTTTAACCCCTATAAGCGGTTTTTTTAAACATCTTATTTAGTTTCAGTTTTATTGTTAGGCAAGATGATTAACAGATTTAGGGACCCAATGGCGATTGCATAGATGCAATCTCGCGTTTGTATAGCTGTTAAAAGTCGCGTGTATTACCTACTTTTAGGTGGGAGGTATAGATTTTTTCATGCACTTATTTTCCCACGTTCCCTCCGCATAAAATTAATAAAATAAATAACACAAGTGCAAGTACAGTCACAAACACCACCACCAAAAATACACCAGACACGTGTTTCGCCTTTCTATGAGATATTCAGGGGTTGTTGATTGTTCGACTCTGTCTGAGTCTGGTATAGTTTTGGTGGTGGTGTCTGTGACTGTAGTTGCGTTTTTGTTATTTATTTTATTAATTTTAATTAAAAGTAACTGCATGAAAAAATATTCAACGCAAGCGCACCTATTTTGCACGATTTAACTTCACTGGGGTCGCGGAGTTTCAAAGTCAAAAATAGACTTTAGTTGCCCATATGTTGAAAATTACCAAAATGGAAATGCGTAAGTGAACCGCCTGAGATCGAAAAAAGAAACAGATTTAAAAAAAAACGGCTGTTTTATACCTATGGGTCGAGTATATATAATAATAATAAAGCGGTTCTACTCGATACAACACGTCGTAACTTTCACCGGTTCATGAACCTAAGTCCTTAACCCCGGCCGACTGTAAATTGCTGGGGAATATCGCCGCTCCAATAATAAAATATTCAAAATTCTTCATTTAGGCCATGAGAGAGGCGATAATCTAAAACAATAATCAAATAAAAAGAAACATTCAAAAAAGAATATAATGAATCAGACGCAAATAATTTGTATTAGGGAGTTTTCTGTACATTGAGAACTTTACTTCCGGACATATAATACGAGCCACCTTGAATTTTTAATCTTAAAGAGCTAGAATACAATGATATTGTTACCATCGAAGACAACGTTTTCCCCGGTCGTACAAATTCAAATTTTCAACAAGGACGTATTATGGAAATGAAGTTACTTTACTCCTCCTTATCATAACTAACTTAATCGTAATTTTTAGCGAGATCAAGTTATTAACATATCGATATCTCCAATTATACTAGGCAAACTTAATTTTGTGGTTACTTTCTGTTTTTAATGTAAGCAGCCTTATTTTATATACCAATATTATGCGCCCCGAATTTTGCGAAAAAAAATAAAAAACAAAAAACAAAATTCGGAAAAAAAACAAGAAAACAAATTTTGTGAAAAAAAAAAAGAAACAAAAAGAGAGATTACCAAAAAAGTAGAGGTATCGATATCTGGGATCAGAGATATGAGATCTTCAACACAAAGTGGCTCGAATTATGTGACCGGGAGTGTATATTAACAAATTGGTTGTCAGGTTAATGTTGATCCCTGTGATGGTAACATTTTTGCCAATGGAAGTTGTTCTTTCTTTGAAATTCCGCACAATGGCGATGACCACAAACTCTATATAAGTTCTGGTGGCTGTATACATTCAAACTTAGAAAAGTTCAATCGGGAAACGAAGCCGGGAAACAGACATTAATATTATTACACTCGTCACATGAAACAAATGTACCTACGGACACTGAAGTTTTACCATCACGCAGTTGTTGTTAATGCGGGTTCATTCACACTTTCATTAACAACGGTTTTTACCTCTATCGTTTCAGATTTTTCCGGTTTGTCCTCTTCAGTGCCGTTGACCTCCTGTTTTTCATCTTGGGCATTTTCAACAGGTTTTTTTTCCTCTGGGACTTTTTCAACGGGTTTCTTTTCTTCCTGCTTTTTGTCTTCCACGATTTTTTCAACAGGCTTTTCCTCTGTCATCTCGATGTCTTGGGAATCTTCAGATTTGGACTCGATAGTGCCTTGACTGGACGTGTCTGTGGTTTCCGGTTTGGGTTCCTCTTTCATCTCTGTTTCTGGGATTGTTTTTTGTTCGTCTTTTGGTGTTGTGTTGTCTTTCTTTTCTTGTGGTTTGTCTGTGAAATAAAAAAAATAGTGTTGTATCAGTGCGTTTCGGGACGTCTGCGTTGGCTCACGTCACACGGCTCACATGGGAATCTCGATTGCAGTTTAGTGTAGTGATGAATTGTGATCGCAATGCCTCGGTCACGTAATTTGCAAGGCGTTATATGAACCAACATTTATTTTATTACAAAGGGTTTTACGTACGTTCTCACTGAAAATTCAGTAATGACACGTAAAATGTTTATACACTACTACTCGGACGCGCCGGCTCCATCGCGGAATCGCATTTTAGGAGCGACGCAGAACCTCCTCGATTTTGGGTCTCTTCACGTGCCAGCACATGCATAACCTCGGGGGAAAGCACCGACTTATCTAACATTAGCGCCCGGACAGCTGTCCGACATTTTGAGATCTGTCAGTATTGTTAGGAAACTGCTAAAGAACTGGCATTAGCAGATTACAGGCCCAAGGACAATTTTGTAATTGGAATATTTATATTTTGGGACTTATAAAGCTACATTTACTCGAATCGAGTTATTCATAACGAACATTGGTGGTGTCGCTTACTAGGTTTTTAAAGTTTCGAAATCTCTGATAAAGTACTTACTATGCAATGGGAGTAAAATAACCCCCTATGAAAACTCCGGTTTGGATATTTTTTTTATTTTATTATTGGACTCAAGATCCAGGATATTTATTCATCCAAACCCATTTCGTTTTTGTATTTGGTAAATTAGTGGGTATATTAATTAAGTAAGGAAATGATTAACAAATTGTGAACAGTATATCTTTCTTGTTACTTTATAATGATGTGTCGCCATAATAGGGTCACAATCTGGTACAGAACTTATTATACTTAACTCTTATCAATATAATTCGATAGTTTTGATGTCCATATAACAAATAAGCAAAATTCCCCTTAAAAAATTGTCCCTTTCTAGTTTTTTTTTGCTCTGGAGTAGCAAATTTCTTTCTTAGTCGCACGATCTTTGAAATTTATGCCTTATTCCTATTGCAATAGCATGTAATATACTTTAATAAATTTACGTCCTCTGCCTTGCCGTACGTTAGTTTAAGCTGGCCCTTAGTATTCCGCGCGGCGGAAACGGCGGAAACGGCCGAAGGTAGCCGATTATGCCCAAGTCTTTATCCAAAAAGTCGATGTGTAAGATTTTCGGCATAAGTACATACATCGATGCGCCGTTTCAGTTCCCTCTTTAGTATTTATTAATTAATAACATTTATTTTAAGCACAAAAAACACAACACAAACGCATAAAACATGACATTCTGGCAATATTATCCTCCTTCTCACCGGCCACCTCAAAACTGTCGTCCGAGTTCAAAAACTTAAATGTACAATTGTCCGCGAGTAATACTCAAAATAAGTTATAAAAAGCTCATTCAATGTTAAAAACCACTTAATATTATATTCACAATCATTATATTAAACTCAATTGCTGGATGTGCAGGTGCCTTCACGAGGTAAGTCCCGGCCCCTCCAGTACAGTAAATTTAAAATATACCAAATGGTTAACTAACTTTTGCCTCGAGTAGTTAATAAAATAAATGATTATTATTATTTTAAAAATAATCTCACCAGTTTCATCTACTTCCATTGGGGTCTCTTTCTTCTCGTCGCCATTCACCTTCTGTAAAAAATTTAACATTGTAGTTTTCACGATATTAATAACGCAAAAATAATTGTAAATACTATCTATTACTAACTACAAACGACACTAGACGGAACATTACCTACACAAAAGTAACTAAAATAATAATTATTAGTGGTTACACACGGCGATTTGAAGCAACGATGCAAATACCAAGTGTAGCGATGCAATCGCGCGTTTGTATCGATGCAATCGCGCGTTTGCTTAAAATCGCGTACGTGTGTGAATGTAGACGATTAGCGACTGTATCGCTGTTGAGTCACCGTGTGTAACCGCTCTTAGGGTCGTATTCTAGAACTCTACTCAATGCTCAAGTTAGGATTTGACCTGACTTCAGTATGATTTTCAGTGCTCACTGCAATACTCAAGTCCTGACTTGAGCATTGAGTAGGGTTCTAGAATACGACCCTTAGACGTCTGCCTGAATCTCATTACAAATAAATTGATTTAACATTCTTCGTACTTGTTAATTTTTAACATATAGAAGAGCTTCGGAGGTATTCGAGTTTTACGGAAATTGACGGCTGTATTGCTAACCAATTTTATCTCATATGTTCCACTGTTCGGCACGGATAACCTAGTTAACCTGGTAACCTAGGAAATCGGTGCATTTTTTAACCTTTAATAAAATAATGGTAAATTATTTACCATCTCATTTTTAACCGACTTAATAAAAAGATGGTTCTCAATTTGACTGTATTTTTTTGTGTGTGAGTAAGTGACGCGATTACTTTCGTGAACCGATTTTGGTAATTCTTTTTATGTTGGCAAGAGGGTACCTCAGTATTGGTCCCATTTAAATTTGAAGAAGACATTCCACTTCCAACGGTAGCAAAATAGGCAATAAATCAGAGTTATTGATTTCAATTACTTTACGTTAACCATTTTGAAAAAAACTTGGCAAATGGATGCAATTCCACAAACTTTTGAAGTTGGTTTATTTTTTATAAAAAACGTATAATTACTTTATAGAAATGGAATAATTTTGTTACCACATTTGCATTTTCTAAACGGTTAAATTTAAAATATTTGCCACCACATAACAACACAATCTCTTGAAAAATGTCAATTACCAGAAAACCACCGCAATACTATCTCGCGTTTGTTAAAAGGTGTTTTTATTTATTGTATTGAGATTCTAAGTCTTATTCACTCAGCCACACATAAAATGTTAAACTGTGACATTTTTGAACAGCCAAAATTGAACGTTACGTAAAAAGACGTAAGGTACTATTTTTCTGTGGCCCATCGTACTTATCCCAATTAACTAACAATAAACCACTACATTACTATCCCGTCACCTTTTTAATAACTAATAACAGATACAAACTACGATATTTAAAAATAATCTTTATAGAGAACTTCAATACTTAATAACGAACTTATTCAGGGAAGAGAGAACTGTTACAAGTGTTTCAAGGCATGCAAAATTGTACACAAAACATATGCAGATACGTTACAATTTTCTTTGGTTGTTGGGGAGTATCCAATTGTGCTGTATAGTCATGTATTGTTTCATTTTTTTTTTGTTTGTGTTCAATTTTACTCACGTTAAAAAACGGATTTTTACCACCATCTACCACCCCAATACAAGAGTGGCGAGACCCGAGCCACCGCCGCCTGTTGTAACAATTACCTACCACTTATTATAAAGTATACTTGAGGGAAATAATTAGAATTAAAATAATACTAGATGATATTATTTGTTTGTAATCCTAAGGAAGAAACTACTTAGCAATAAGACCACATGTTGCTTATTAGCTAGTTTGAATAATCAGGGTTCAACAATCTATTTGTACAACTATTACTTGTCTAAATTTATGTATTATTATGGTATTTTGTTATATATACTGTATTTTATTATTATTTAAATTTCTTTTTTATTGTTCTTTTATATTGTAGAATGTTTGTATGTTATTTCGGGTGCAAGAAAGTAGCCTCCCCGCCACGACGCACCTTTCTTTCCTGTACGTCTTTTATGGTATATTTATCATCAATTTGATATTTTTTGTCAGAATTTTCCTAAATATTCCGAAAAATTGGTGGTTGCAGCAACTCGTCGCAAAGGTTAGGTTAATTATTCACTTTACTGGTAATTACGCTAGAATGACTGCAGAGACGTTTGATTATATTCTTGAAAATATCAATCCAGAATTGGAATCCGACTTGGAATCTTGAACAGAATTGGAATATTTTTACGAATAAAGAAATTATTACTATTTTATAAAATTGTACTAATACATAAAAAAAAAATTAATAATTACCTACGTATATAAATAATTAGTGTCCTGACTGTACTATACGTTCTGAGCACGGAAGAAAGAAAAGAATGGAAATGGCATCAAGCAACAATTGTACCAAAACCGGTGTCGCCAACACGCACACATTTGAAATCGTAATCTTACATTAGTACTAAGATAACCTAATTTTGATTGGTTAAAAATTATCAAACGAAAACAGACAATAATAAAAAAACTATTGAAAAAAAAAATTGAAACTTATTTGGATCTAATAAGGTTTTATTATTACTAGTCATATAAAAGCTAAGAAACCTATGAACATAAACTTCTTGTAACAAAAGCAAAAAGTTGGCAATCTACAGATAGGGATGTGACATTTAATTGATATCGACATTATGTTTCATAACTAGCGGAATATTGAACAAGGCATTGCTTTATACTTGCTATAATTAGGATTAATCACGGAATATATGGAAACGGTCTTTAAAGCAATTTCTTCGAGAACTAGCGTAGCTAACTTTTACACGCACACATTTGTTACCAAATACGCATAAGGTTTTACTACACGCAAATATTAATTGATATTAACTACGCAGGCGTGTGCGTATACGTAGGTACATGCTACAATGACTGTATTAATGATTGACGCTGTCATCGTACTTTCATTAACCTACTAGATTTCAAGTCAATCCGGTCACAAGAAAAATTAAAACACAGTCATCATAAAAATCTTTATTCTCCCTGAAATGTGATGTCTTTGTTCAACAATTACCTCTTTTTGAACTGACTGAACATGACTACACCCATAGCGTCGACGAGCTTGTCAAGAAAATGAAGATACTTATTTCCGAAGTCGAAGAAGCGAATCATTTGTTTAGTTTATCAATAGATGTGGTCTATAATTTGTGAAGGCGACTCTGAGTTTCATGTCCACCTGATTAACCAAATGATTTATTTCTTAATGAATTTTTCGGTTGTTATTCATATGTATATAATTTAATGCGATGCCATAAAATGCCTATAGCAAATGGTGCTACATTTAGTAGGTACCCAGCTTTTATTGCCCGTTACTCCAGCCCGTTTCTCTCTTAAAAATGATCCGGCGGGAAACTAAAAATCAATACAAAAACTGCAAATGTAAATCATGCCTGTGACAAAACTAAGAACTCAAACGGATGAAGGTGACGTATAATAAGCAAGTAGGGAGATAGGAATCATGTAGATAAGGGAAAGAAAATCTCCAGTCATAAAGTCTTCATTTGATACTCCACGAGCTTACGTGCAATGTAAAATTATCGATACTGTACCTCTTCTATCTATACTTCCTTTTTTTCATTAATATATCGTTTTTACTTAAATTGAAAATTTAAAAAAACAATTGCGAGGGTTGGGATCAAACATTTAAGTAATCAAAATTGTTAGCTTTTAAATTAACAATTTATGTTTACACATTGGTACCGCTATATTAAAAAAAAAAATTGAACTAAATCAAAACCGGGTTTCTAAATACAGAGTTTCTACATATCGATAATTTGATTACAACACGCGGACCCAGTACCAAGTGTAATACGACGCTAGTGCAAGCAATTCATTGAGCGTTATTGGAATTGTTTTATTGACGGCGGCCATGGCTAGCAACCAATGTATCAATATACATTATTACTGGGTTGCAAGAAAATAGTTTTGTTTCGAAATTATAGTATTGCATTGTTCAAAATATTAGAAAATACAGAGTTTTAGTACTTATCGATGAAATGAAATCACTCCTGGAGTATTTTTTAAACTTTGGCTTCTTACGCGGCATGATATAATGGCACAATTTCTATTTTTTCCACAAAATAATCACGTATCACATTTGAACGACGACTGACGCGCTGTTGACACTCATATGAACGTCTGTTCATAAGCTAGGTAACGCGGACCCCGCCCACTAACTACTAAACTATACTAGTATTTATGTGGTATGTGGTTCTGTGCATTGAAGGTCGTTTTACGGGTGCCTTAGCTCGGGCCAAACGTACTGGGAAGGTAGATGGACAGAATACTTCGTCGAAACGTTTCTTATAATGCCTGTACCATGAGTTTACAGATACAGTTGTCGCTAATTTATTCTATATTTATGTCATTATAATCATACCGGCTTATACATAAACGTACGTACACAAAAGAGTTGTGGTCTTTCAAAATCTTTGTGGGTCATTTCATTACCTGTTACTACGACTTTATTTTTATTTAATTGTATTTTTTTTTTATTCTATTTTACTTTTGTTTTAATTTAGCTTTATCTTTTTTTAAATTTCTTACTGTGTATTATTGTGTTGCGGCGTTATGTAATAAATGGATTTTATTCTATTATATTATATATATTAAATATATTTATATTTAGATATTCACTAATAACAACTCCATAATAAACTGATGTTTTATCAAACGACTGGCTGGTTATTTTATTTTGAGTAGATCAGTGTGAAGAAATTCATTTTGGCTTGACATCCTTATTACATTATAAGTGTGAATGACGTTTTAAAAAATTTGAAGCCAATTTCATCTTTTATTGTTTACATATAAACCTACATTACATAACAACCTGGAATATGGATTTTTTCTGAGTGTTCGATCTTTGTATTAATAATTATAACAAACTAGTGGAGTAATTTCGCAAAAAATAATTGAATATCAATTCAATAACAATTTTAAACCTGGAATTCGTTAAAAATTTTCTGTTGGATGCGTAAGAAT